ACTTCAAACCTGGCGCTGCTGCGGGGTAGCGCCTGGCCGCACACTGTACGGTCACCGGCACCCACCAGCCTCCAGGGTGGGATCCCCAGCCACCTGGGTGACACACGCGCCACTCCAGAATCGGGCCCCAAGGATCGGGCCTGAGGACCACTTCAGGTGCAAGTTGTGTTGGGCTCAGTGCCTCCGGGAAGTATAACCTGGGTCGGGACTCAAGGGGTTGATGTGAGCCAGGTGCAGCGGTACGCACCTGTGTCCCAGCACTCAGGAGGCTGAGACAGGAGAATCACTGTGAGTTCACGGCCAGGCTAGGCAATGTAGCAAGACCCCGTCACAAAAAGTTGTAATGATCCAAGTGTGTGGACCCACATTCTCCAAGAATGAAGATTGGGTAACCTGATTTGGTTTCTAAAAACATTCAACCAGCTGGGTGTGGTGGCGCACGCCTGTAATCCCAGCACGCGGGAGGCTGAGGCAGGGGGATCATTGCGAGTTCGAGACCAGCCTGGGCTACAAAGTGAGCTCAAGGCCAGCCTGAACTGCGTAGTGAGACCCTGTCTCAAGAAGACAAAGTACATCACTGTGAAAGATACATTGCCGTGAACCCCCTCAGAACCCTCCTGAGGGTTCTGCTTCAAACACACTCAGCCCAGCATTCTCGCCTCTCTCTGAAGCAGCTCTGAGGTCCTCTCTCCCTTGCGCCTGCATGAGGTGTGACCATAAATGCAGCCAACACTGCTGCCACGCACCGCCCAACACCCCGCCCGCCAGGCGGGCTCGGAAGGACACACCAGGCCCTCACCCACCATGTTCATGCAGTCTGGCTCCTGGTGGCTCCTGGCTCCACCCCAAAGTCAGAATGACCATGCAATGGAAAAAAATTATTTTCTAGTCAGAGTCTTGCTGTGTAACCCACACTGGCCTCAAATTCACAGTGATCCTCCTGCCTCAGCCTCTGAAGTGCTGGGATGTCAGGCGTGCGCCACAACCCTCAGATTAAGGTCAAGGTTTTGAGTTGATTCAGGACATCCAGGCAGGCATGGCAGTGCCACTAAAGATACTGCAGACAGGTGGCAGCAGCTCCCTGGCGGCTCCTGAGTCACCCAGCCCACAGGGCCCAGCAACCAGGGTGAGGTGACCCCGTGCACCCTCCTCCTCGACACTGCCTGCAGCTCCAGCCCCATCTCTTCAGTGTCTTCTCACTGACCTTCAAGGCTGCCAACTCAGGGAAGCAAGCAGCTACAGTGCGTTCCTCTCCCCTCATCTGAGACCCACACTGCGCTCATCTTCCTGAGAGCCCAAGACACAGATGCTCTCGTGGGCAGGGAGACCTCGGCTCAGGTCACACTAGGATAGCAGACCACACAGGGACTTGCACATGGGCTCCTCCAGAAAGTTTAAGCACTGGCAACACTAACGCATTTTGTAGTTTCGTTTGGTTTTGGTTTTTTTGAGCATTTCTTTTTTTGTTGTTTGTTTTTTGTTTGCTTCCAGTACCGGGAATCGAACTCACGACCTTGTGCTTGCCAGGCAGGCGCTGTGCCGCTGAGCTAAATCCTCAGCCCCGGTTTTGTTTTTTTGAACAGGGTCTTGCTATGCAGCCCAGGCTGGCCTCGAACTCAGGGCGATCCTCCTACCTCAGCTTCCTGAGTGCTGGGATCAGAGCACATGCTATAGCACCATGCTGGCTACTCCACAGCGTCAACACTACTCCATGGGAAAAGAACAGTCTTTTGAACAAATGGAGGGGCCGGGGATATAGCTCGGCGGCACAAGCACCTGCCTGGTAAGTGCAAGGTCTTGAGTTCGATTCCCGGTACAAAAAAACCCCCACTTCCATTCCACAAATGGTACGGGAAAACTGGATCCCCGTGTGAAAAAGAACGAGGTTGGGCCCTTGCCTGACACCATACCCAAAACTTAATTCAAAATGGGTCACAGACCTGAAGGGGAGGTCTGAAATTCTAAAACCCTTAGACGAAAACAGAGGCGAGAAACTTCACAACGTCGGGTTTGGCATTGAGCTCTTGGTGCGACACCAAAGGCACAGTAAAAATAAGAAAACGAAGTAGACCTCACGAGAATCTTTAAATTTTGTGCTTTAACTGGCAGTATCAGCAGAGTAAAAAGGCAGCTCGTACAGCTGGGGAGAGCACAAGTCACACGCTGGAGCTGGGTCCGAGTCCGGGGCCAGAGGGCTCCCAACGCCCAAGGGACGGCGCGGGCGGGGAGGGGCGCGGCGCGCAGAGCAGCCAGGGGCCGCCCGGGGCGCTGCGTGGCCTGCGGGCCGAGGGACCCGCTCGGGGCTGGGTCCTGCAGATCCGCGGAGCCGCTCGCGGGAGCGCTCAGGGGGCCGGGTCTGGGCTCGCACCCTCCAGCTCGGGCACAGATGGCCGGACAGGCGACGGAGGGACAGAGACAGGGACAGACGGGCTGGCCCCGCCCCGCGGCCCCGCCTCCCCCTCCCCGGATTGGCCCCGAGGCGGGGCGGGGCGGTG